TGTGATAATACGTGTACATACTGCGATTGCGCCATAGTCCATGATTGATTGCAGCTGCTTATTTTTGTGGAGCAGACTGGAATAAGAGAGCTCTTCATGATACAGCAAATGACATAACCTCGACAAAAATTTTCGAGTTACGAAAGTCAGGGGCGCAAACAATGAGAAGCCCTGCAAGTCTGCCGAGGGGACTGGTCACCATCACACGGAAACGGTGTATCTCTTCTTGGGAACGGTAAACATGTCCTGTAAAGTTACTGTGGTTTTTTACTACCGTTCTGCTCGACTCACTTCCTAGACCAGCGATTTGACGAGTGCCAGATTTATGATTTCGGCGAGAGGCGAAAGCGTGCGGCTGGATAAATCGGAGTTTGCCACGCTCCCCAAACAATATGGAGCGTGGAGAAACAGTGGGAGCATCCTTGGGTTGGGAGTACTGAATGTATACTCACTCATAACTCTATGGTTTACTACATTTTATGTAACTTTTTTCAAGGGGACCTCTGTAGAGGGACCACTGTTATGCTTGGAAGAATTAGTTTACTAAGATTTTACTTGCTTCCCTTTTTTTTACTTCGTAATGCGTTTGTGCGTATGTGAATTACGCGAATTTGGAGAAACCATGGGAGTACTTTATGCGTATGTAAATTAGAGGTTTTCGGTCGATGATATCGCTTCCTTCCACGAGGCTACTGCACAGGAAGAGTCTAGGACTAAAAAGATACTCATAGATGTCACACTTTAATATAATCACCAAAACTCAATAAGGTGCTACGTCCCCAACGAATAATGGAACTAGGTGCGAGGTTACTGTAGCTCCGCAAAGTTCGCAACGGCACACAGCCGCATCTGTACGAAAGAATGGCGCCGGCTTGGGTCTTAGCTTTTGAGTGTTTTGACGTAGCTCTGATACGATTAATTTGTTTGAAAATGTTTAATTCGTGGTCAGTGTGCGAGTTGATAGTTCACAACGCGAGGCCACCACATACACTCCATATCCTGTAGATAAGAAGGCGTGGTTGCATACTCTCATTCGAACATGGCGTATGAAGGGCTATTCGTTGGATACCTCTGTCTGAGACAAATGTCATCTGGCCCTGAGTTGAAAGACCTGGTCGCAGCTGTCTTAAAACGGCAAGGCGCTGACGTGGTTGTGTGTGTGTGAGGGAGGGGGACCGCTGTAACTCTCTCCCAAGAAGGGTTATGCGTAGAGCGCAGGCGACCAGAGTCGCCGAGATCTAGTTTCGCAGAAAAGACATAGTATCCATCAAGAACCAGTATTGGTTAGAGGAAAAAATACGGAGGTGGTGGCTGGTGCCCCTCTCTTCCTTGTGAATACGTAGCGCCAACGGCATTCTCCCGCCACGTTCAAGTGGACCACACAGCCACTCCCTCCCTGCGTCCGCGATATGTTCGCCAGGTGTGATGCTGAAGAAGCTTGCCTTGTTGTTTTTGTGATATTAGAAGCTGTCAAGACTTTGATTCCTAAAGAAATGCGAGTTGATAGGCAACATACAGTTGATTTCCCTGACTTACTTACTCGTAATAGTAATGACTTGAATTTCAGATTTTTCAACCTGGATTCCAAACTGGATAAACCTGAGGAAATAACTGATATTGTCGGGTACTGCCGTAGCCTGTTGGCAAAAACAGCAGATGCGAATCAAATATTCCTCGTTGGTAAGATCGATCCGTCTCTTTATGTTTCTACGGAGTGAAAATCACCATGTGATGGCTGCAATACTTGTGAGTAGTACCGGTTCAACATACTTTCTGAGTTCCGTGACTTTAGTACTGGTATCGATTGTACTGAGATGTACTGCCGATTTTCATGTAATATGTGATGGTCCCGAAGCGCCTTTCATAAGTTTTCTTTGTTTGCCTTTGGAATGACTTCTGTACAATAATATTCTGTACAAAACATGTGAGCCCTACTTAGGTCCTCGGAGATTTCTTTGTACAAAGTATTGTATATGTAATAAAGTCTGTGAGATGTTGTAAGCCGTACAGGTTCAGTTTTGGAAGAAACAGTGCCCACACCTCGTATCCCACAGAGGGGAAAGGCGTGGCCATGTACTTCATTTTAGCATGGCGTAGGAGTCGCTCTTCGTGGAAGATCTCCATTCGAGACAACGGTCATCCTGTATTCTTCTCTAATGTTGGCCAAAGGCATGATTACAGCGGTCCAAAAACAGTAGTATCCCACCATAGGCGTGGCCGTCGTCATGTTCATGAAGTGCGCAGCCTCCCTCCCCCTCCCATCTCTGGGGATACGGTACGTATCAGGTGTGACGTCAACACTCATCCTATCCTATTTTTTGCGAAAGCTTGTTGTTCTCTTTGTTGTTACTTGCCATAGCTGGTAACAATCAGTTCTTGCTAAGCAATAATATACTGCCGGCAAAGAACGCACTGTGGCGAGGCAACATGACTAACAAGGGAGGTCTTTCAGGTCGTGGCGCGCTTTTTGGAAATGGTTTGTTGCTTGTTGTAGGGGTCCATACAAGGATCACAAAAATGGGTTTCATTTTTGCTATGCATTTCCGGGGAGGTCAAAATTGAGTGAAAATTTTGACAAGACTGGGTG